GGGGGGGGGGGGCTTTATTTCAAAAATAAGTGTTTAGTGTTTTAACAGAAACGCAGAAAAACTATATCCTACAACTTACATCACGCACCAGAATAAATTCCAGATGGACCAACCATCTGAAAGTGCAAATGAAACCGTAAACATTCTAGAAGAAAGCGTGAGAGAATTCCTCCTAACCTTGGAACGGGAAAGGCTGGTTTCGCCGCAGGTGTATGTCTAACATTTTAAGAAACTGCCAATAATAAAATAACTATGACTTAAAATCCAGAAGTCATAAAACAAAAGATTAAATTATACTCCATGAAAAGTCTGCTTTGCCCCCCCCAAAAAAAAAAAATCAGTCAAGAGAAAAACTACAAGCTAGAAAACATATTTGCAGCTCGCATCATAAACAAAGAGCAAATCTCTCTAATATGTAAAAAGTGCTCAGAAATCAAGAAGAAAATGACCAAAAAAAAAGAGAGAAAGAGATAAAAGAAGAAAGTCATCAACAATCCAATAGAAAAATGGGCAGAGGATATGAACAGACAGATAACAATAAAAAGTATCTGGAATTTGGAAAGGGGCAAAAAGGATCACAGTGTAAACCTTTCGTACCTTTTAAAGTATGTGACTACTGCCTTTTTTTTGTATTATCTTTTAAAATTGTGACAAGAAATCGAAAGTCTTAACATCTTTATTGAGATATCATTGATATGCAGAAATCTGCACATATTTAAAAGGTACAATTAGAAAAGTGTTGACATGGCAGCCATAATTAAGCAAGTGAACAGGGAGGGGGGTAATACCTGCCCCCTTCTTTAGTTCTTACGGCTGGACTAATAATAAAATAGCAAAATTGCCGCAAGACTAGGTTAACAGGGGGGATAGCAATTTAATACATGTGTGCAGGAGAGTCACAATATGACGCTCAGGTCATAAAATAAGGCTCAAAGAGATGATTGAATTAAGCAACTTTTTTATACTTTTCAGACAAACAACATTTCTGAGAAACTGACAGGACAAAGAAAGTTAGCGCTCATTAGAAAGGAATCTAAGCAAGGTTTGGGCTTGGGTAATAAATTAGCAAAGGCCCTATAAGGCTTATTTACACAAGCTTTTCGCTCTGGATTTTATAACTATATCTTATGATAAGCTTGACTCAGCTCTCAGGAGCAGGGAGAGCACCTACGTTTATTTCCTTCGTTTGGCGAGCCAGAGTGCATCGACTCTTGCTGCTTCTCATGTGATTTTCATTCGAAATAATCAATATGCCGTTGTGGGATATCTTGGGGCAGCCTTCCCAGGGCCCTGACTATATACATCACCCCCAAAGCTTCCCTGTGCCCCTCAGCACCCCCTCTCTCTCTGCACCCCTCTCCTACACCCACCAGCCCCCGTGCAAACACTGACCTGCTTTCTGTCGCTATGGGCTACTTTGCATTTCTAGAATTTTATATAAATGAAATAGAGTAGGCACCCTTTTTAAAAAAAGTCTTCATTCAATCAGCATGATCAGTGCTGTACTTTCTTTTTACTGCCGAGTAACACTCTGGTGCATGACGATGCCGCGGTTAGTTCATCCATTCGCCTACGAACAGCACGTCAGTTGTTTCGATTTCAAGCTAATACGACAGAGCAGCTGTGAGCAAGCCTCTGCGTGGACACGTGTTTTCACTTCTCCCGGGTAAGTACCTAGTGGAGTGCCTGGGTTATATGGCAGGTGTACGTTTAACATTTTAAGAAGCTGCCAAACTGTTTTCCAAACTGATTACACCATTTGACATTCCCACCAGCAATGGATGAGAGTTCCGGTTGCTTCATACGGTCACCAACACTTGGCAGGCCAATCTTTTTAATTTACGCCAATCTAGTGGAGAGCGTAGCAATTTCTTATTGTGGTTTTAATTTGCATTTTCCTAATGACCAATAATATTGAGCACATTTTCATGTGCTTATTGGCCATCTAATGTGTCTTAAAATCTTTTGTCCAGCTCTGGCCGGTGTGGCTCAGTTGGTTGGGCGTCATCCCATGCCCCAGGAGGTCACAAAGATTTCCCTCATGTTTTTACATTTAGTATATGATGCAAGGTATCAATCAGAGTTCTTTTTTTTTTGCATATGGATGTCTAATTGTTTCATTTGTTGAATTGCACCGTCTTTTGAAAAGACTATCTTTTCTCCAGTAAATTGTCTTTGCACCTTTGTTGAGAACCAGTTGTCTGTATATACGTGGGTTTATTTTTGGAGTCTTGATTCTGTTCCATTGATCGATTTGTTTATCTTTACATAGTGCCACACTGTTTTGACTTCTGTAGCTTTATAATACATCTTGAAGTCAGATAGTTTTTGTCCTCAAACTATTTTCTTCCTTTTCAAAGTTATTTGGGGGCCTTTGCCCTTCTATATGAATTTTTAAATCAGCTTCTAAATTTCTACCCAAAAAAGCCTTCTGAGATTTTGATTGGAATTGCATTAAATCTATATAAATCAATTTGAGGAGAACTGACATCTTAGCACACACCTGAGTATTCTGATCTATGAACATGACATATCTCTTCACTTGTTTAAGTCTACTTTCTCTCACTAATGTTTTATAGTTTTCAGTGTGCTTTTCATTATAAACCTTGGTGTCCTTGTTAGTTTTTAAACCATGGGAATGTATTATCTATTAAGAATCAAATTAAGAAATTGAATTTTAAAATACAACCTGTGCCCCAGAGGGTTGGAGATCATTTCAAATGGCTGTTGTACCTACCCCTCCCCAGCCCAGACAGTACCACAGGGTCACATGCTGAGGCCCCCGGAGCCAAGACAACAAGGATTTCTGGATCCTCACGGGAGAGCCTCGCCTCCCCACTCTCCCTGGGTCTGTCTGTCTCCCTCTCACTGTCTCTCCTTGGGAACCACTCCTTCCCATTCTGATGGAAATCCCTTCCTCCTTTCATGCCTTGGCTGTGATATAAGAGCTAAGGCATGTGTTCTTCATCGTTTATTTTATTCACTGAAAAGACAATCATGCTCCTTAGTCTTTATTTGTAAAGTATGACTGTCTTATTGA